ATGCACACAGATACGCACATTACAAGACATGTATTGATTCAGAAAAGATTAACATTAGTTTGACTACATAAGGAGTTTTCCTCAGATATTCTACAGATCATTGTATTTTTCTCTCACAAGCAACATCACTGTTCACTCTCCTGAAATATAGCTGTCCATTGTGCAGGAATATTTTGTTTATTTTTTGGGGGCGGGGGGGATTGCAGGACTGTTGGAGAGATATTTGCTGTCAGTATTGCACAGGGTGGACCACCTCCAAACTTTTTAATGCAGTGGTGCTACAACTACATATCAACTGGAGAAGTGGATCAGGAAGCAATAAGTGAAAGGGATGTTACAGACCCTGAACTAATACAACTAATAAAAGAGGTAGATCATTTAAATGTGGGGAAAATTGCACTGTGAATCATCATTTCATGTCTAAGTGATGTAAATTGTTCAAGTGTTATGATTATTAATTCCATGCTTTTCTGTCAATGAAGATACTTCATTTCAAAATAAAAATGGACATTTTATTCTCGAAAAATCAGTTGACTCAAACACTAAACTGAACTCATTATGGTGTAGGTGTGAAGTTAAGTGTGGTTTTGTGTCTTTCAAAGATTGAGGCAGCTGACAATACAACCCTAATGGAGTTCACAGACAGGATTTTGTCATGTGGATACACAGGGGCAGTGTCCACCCAAAGAAAAGAAGACATTGTGCGGTAGGACAATTCCTTTAATGTAGGTTCAACTTCTAGATTTGGATTTGTTTTTTTTTATTTAATTATATTTCACTTTTTGTTACAGCTCATTAGTCCTACACTCCACAGTGAGGTTACTTCCCATGCTCCAGCAAATCTGCTCTGGAATGAAACTGTATGGTCTCCTCAGCTTGGTCCACCAAGAAACTGACATCTGCAGACAGCTGTTTGTTCCCGGGTCTTTTTCCAAGGCAATAAATATTGTCCATTGAAATATCTGCATTGAATCATCTAAGAAATATTTTTTTCAAATAAAAATCTGGATGACTTCTATTCTTTCTTTCTTCAATTAAGATGGATTCTGATTTTCTAGTGAAGTCACTATCACCTGTCTTCAGTGAGAAGGGTACAATGAGGCATCAGAGAGAGTCCAAAGTGGTCAACTTTTTGCAGGACTTCATACAGGACTTGGAAGATGAAGGTAAATGATTTGTATACATTAATGTCATACAACAGTAGAGAATGCTAACTTTTCTGATGACATTTCTGTTGCATGATTCACTTTGGAAAACATACAAATGAAATGTATTTGAAAGAATTTATATTTCTTTAGAATTTTTGCAATCATATCACTTCATGCTTGGACAGCAAACAAAGGGAATTGTAAAATCTTATTGACAAGT